AGTGGGTTAGAAGATTATCTTGGAGAAAAATGCAAACTCAAAAACTAGTAAATAGGCTTATTCTTCATCATATAGTACATAATATTAACAATATGATGAATATAAGATGTACATAACGTTAACTATATGATGAATATAAGATGTACATAATGTTAACTATGTGATGAATATAAGATGCACATAATGTTAACTATATGATGAATATAAGATGCACATAATGTTAACTATGTGATGAATATAAGATGTACATAATGTTAACTATGTGATGAATATAAGATGTACATAATGTTAACTATGTGATGAATATAAAATGCACATAATGTTCACTATATGATGAATATATGATGTACATAATGTTAACTACATGATGAATATAATATGTACATAATGTTAACTATATGATGAATATAAGATGTACATAATGTTAACTATATATGATGAATATAATATGCACATAATGTTAACTATATATGATGAATATAATATGCACATAATGTTAACTATATGATGAATATATGATGTACATAATGTTAACTACATGATGAATATAAAATGCACATAATGTTAACTATATGATGAATATAAGATGTACATAATGTTAACTATATGATGTACATAATGTTAACTATATGATGTACATAATGTTAACTATATGATGTACATAATGTTAACTATATGATGTACATAATGTTAACTACATGATGAATATAAGATGTACATAATTCATTATTGACCAAGCGTTCACTCAACACCGACTTTACTTACCACGATTCAGTCAACACCGACTTTACTTACCACGATTCAGTCAACACTGTCTTTACTCGCCATGACTTCTCTAACCCTTGACTTTCCTAACAACATTCAATCAACACTGACTTTGCCCATCATGACTTCAATCAACACCGACTTTGTCCATCATGACTTTAATCAACACTGACTTTGCCCATCATGACTTCAATCAACACCGACTTTGCCCATCATGACTTCAATCAACACTGACTTTGCCCATCATGACTTCAGTCAACACTGACTTTGCCCATCATGACTTCAATCAACACTGACTTTACCCATCATGACTTCAATCAACACCGACTTTGCCCATCATGACTTCAATCAACACCGACTTTGCCCATCATGACTTCAATCAACA